ATGGATGATTGATGGATGGATGATGGATGATGAATGGATGGATGGGTAATGGATGGATGGATGATGGATGGATGATGGATGATGGATGGATGATTGATGGATGGATGATTGATGGATGATTGATGGATGAATGATGGATGGATGATGGATGGATGGATGGATAGATGGACGATGAATGGATGGATGGGTAATGGATGGATAGATAGATGGATGATGGATGGATGATGGATGGATGGATGATGATGGATGATGGATGGATGGATGATGGATGGATGGATGATCATGATGTCTCCATCAGGTCTTTAATCTCTGACTGAATTGAATGAGGCTCAGTTCCTCCTCCACCTCCTCCTCCCCCTCCACCTCCACCTCCACCTCCTCCCCTTTCACTATCTGGACACCCAGGTCCATCTATACCTGTTAATTCAACAACTCATCCTCTTCCACCGCCCCCTCCCCCTCCTCTACCTGGTTACCTGGCACTGGTCCCACCAAAACCTCCTCCTTTACCAGGATTTGCAAGTTCACTGCTTCCTCCACCAGCACCACCACCACCACCACCACCACCACCTCCTCCTCCAGGCTGCGGTCCCCCTCCTCCCCCTCCTCTATCAGGAACCATCTGTGTTGCCCCAGATGCTCCAGGAGCGCCGGGTTCCCTGCCCCCTCCACTGCCCTTGGCTCTGTATTCTCTGGCTTTAACACAGGAGAAGCTTCCCAGGAAAGCTGTGGTGGAGCCACCCAGACCCATGAAGCCCCTATACTGGACCAGGATTCAGCTCTATGCCAAGAAGTAAATATGCATAATACTACTGCCATGTTATCTATGATGGCTGGGAATTGTTTTAAAGGGAAAAAGGAAATTTTGAAGGAATGTAAATGTCATACTAGAGTTTTAAGGCACTTTTGCAAGTTTGACAGATTTCTACCATAAAATGATTGTTTAATTCAAAAGGATTTTTTTACAGGATTATAGCTCAAATAGTCATTCTATACTATTTTTCATATTTGTTCATTTATGAATTATATTCATCACAGTTCAGTTATCTCTCAATACATTTCTAAATTTAATGAAAGTTTAGCACATCCAAACAGACAAAGCAAGTTGTTTATTGTTAAAACATTGTGTAGAAATAACTTGTTTGTGAGAGTTTAAGGGAAACCTTTTCTGCCCAACAAAAGTTAAGACCTTCGAGTAATATATTTAAAGGGATCCCTGATTAGTTGTTACATTAGACTTTATTTAATAAACATATATTTTAACTGTAAAATAAAGACAGTAAAAAATACTGTAGGCTGTTTAGTTTTTATCATTTTTAAATTAAAAGTTTAAAAATATATTACACGAACGGGGCCGTTTTATTTAAATGCAAAGCATTCTGGGTAAATG